CGCCGCGGCGGCCCGCCCCGAGCTTGGCGAGGACAGAGCCCCCGGGCCTCCGCGCCTTCCTCGGGGCTTGGCCGGGTGGCCCGCGCAGGCCCAGCCCCCTCTGTGTTTCCCAAAGCCTCCGTAAGACGCGTTGCACCTGGAGGGCTCTAGAAGGGCAGGGGCCTCGCCAGCCTCGGTCCTAGCTGGGTCGCCAAAAGGTCGAAGTGAGGTGAAGAGACGAGGACCGAGGCGCTGGTGCCCAGTACGCGCCCAGCGGGGCAGAGGATGCGCCCGGGGACTTCCCTGATAGAACTCCCATGGAGACAGCGAGCGGAGGGCAGGGTGCTTCCTTCAGCATTGTAGTCACCCTATTTGCCCCAGTGTACCAAAAACGCAATAAATAGTGATATGAAAAGTTGTGGCGCACGCCTGTAGTCCCAGCGCTTGGGAGGCTGAGGCAGGAGGATCACTATAAATTCGAGGCTAGCCTGCACTACATAGTGAAACCCTGTCTCAAAAACAAACAAAAACCAATTCATACACATGGTCTCATTAAACTGCTTAGGCTCAACTTGAACTCTTGTGCTGCCTGCTTTGGCCTCCCTACTATGGTATTACCAGCATGTGCCATGGGTTCTTTTCTTTCTCCCCACAACACCATGGTGCTAGGGATAAAAGGCAGGATATCTTACATACTAGCCCTCTAAGCAAGCACTGCATCACTGAGATATATGCCCAACCCATGCACTTTCTTTTTTCCCCAAGTATTGAGGACTTAACCCAGTTCCTTTTCATTAAATCAGTAAGCTACTCACGCTGCGCTGGAACTTGTGATTCTCCAGCCTCAACTTCCAGAGTGCTGAGATCACAGATGTATACCAACACACCTGGCTTCAAATTTTTTCTTTTTTTCAAGGCTGGCCTTGAACTCACTTTGTAGCCGAGGCTGGCCTCGAACTCATAGCAACCCTCCTGTCTCAGCCTCCTAAGTGCTGGGATTACAGGCATGACCCACCATGCCCAGCTTCTTATAATTATTTTAAAATGAAAGCTGGTCGCAGTAATACATACACGTAACCCCAGTATACTGGAAGATGAGGCGGGAGAATCACTTCGAGTTCAAGGCCAGCCTGAACCACATAAGGAGACCTCAAATATATATATGTAGCTGAGGCTGGCCTCGAATTCACAGCGATCCTTCTGCCTCAACCTCCCCAGTGCTGGAATTACAGGCATGCACCACCACGCTCAGCTTTATCATATATTTGTTAAATGAGATGGAATTCACAATGAGACAGCAAGTCAAATGTTGTGGTGCATGCCTGTAATTCCAGAACTCTGGGAGATTGAGGTGGGACACTAACAAGTTTGAGTCCAGCCTGGGCAATTCAGTGATTTAGGCCTTTCTCTTTT